AGGTATTTAAGAGGGAGAAATCGAGTTTTCAAGAGAATTGTTTAGCGGATTTCTGGTTACAGAATGAATTAAAGAACTAAAGACATTGACAATGGGGGAGGCTCGGGATTTGATTGTCTGTCCACCCGCTTAACTAATGACCGTAGCCAAAAGCGAACTTCATCCTTTGTACCTGCTTACCGTCTTTCTAACTGAGATGCCATAACTCTTCCTTCAGCATATGCGGATCTAACTAACTAGGTTGGCCGTAGACATAGGTTTTCCCGAGGCAGATCACCATCCCTAATTCAAGAGCCTGAACCTATCTGTAGTCGATCAGAGGTGAATCTATCACACAGTCTGAACGGATCGAAATCTCTTACTGAACGGCTAGAATAGGCCAAAGAAGCAAAGGAATGAGCGCCTCGCCTTTACTCTAATCTAATAAGGAACAAGCAAGGCCCTAACTACAGTTCTGAGTAACTCCTTGTCTCATTGATCCGAAAAGGCATAAGTCCCACGTGTACTAAACCCTTTTATTATTCTATCTTATTCCATCCCTTAGAGCTAGAATGAATCAAAATCTGAACTCGGAACTAAGCGATTGGCAGCTACTTTTTATTCTATTGAAGAATGTAGAACTAGGAATAAAATAAGAATAGGGATCCACGTCGAGCCATCCTTCTAAGTCTCGCAGCATCAATTGAATCGGCAGACACAAAGACGAAGACAGAGACGAGCTAAGATGTAAAGTAGTGGAATGGAAAAGGATGGTAGCCCACCCAGGAAAGCACATAGAGTAAGGTTGGCTCTATGCAAGAGAGGAAAACCGCATGGACATGGCTTTCCTTTTGGATAGATCGTCAAGCAATTTACCCATATAGCTATTATCGCGAGGGTGAAATCCAATCCATTACATCGGGATTGAAACTTGAGAACCTCGAGAACCAAAGATAGAGGAAGATATAAGCAATATAACGGATTGGAATATGAATAGGAACTGCCTTCAGAGAGAAGAGAGAAGGCCAGGCCGAAACGATATTGCCATTCCTCGATTAGGGCTCGAAGGGGAAAGGAGTGAAATAAAATAAATAGGATAGGCGAAACCTTGGAAGAAATCCAACCTCATAAAAGAAACCGATAGAGCAGTAACCGGCTAAGCGCTTTGAGTTGAGTGATAGTAGGGCGTGCTAATCCCCGACCTAGGGAAGTGTCAACAAAGGGGGAAGTCTTCTCTTTCGGAGAAGGAGGGGAGATCCGCCTTTCGGACCTGGAGGAAGTAGAATTCCGAATACGGGTACGAAGGGTCATCCAGAAGCGCTGGAAGGGCTGGAGGAAGGGGGCAGTCTTCCCTTTTGGAAAGATAAGGCGCATCAGAAAGGAATCCGGATATCTTGAAATAGCCAGATTCACGAGCTGAGGACTAAGTCGAAGTTGAATCTAAAGCAGAAGTTAGGGCTGGAGCCTGAGTTGGTCTTGATGTCCTAGAGTAGCGAAAGCACAAGTGAGTGAAGGGGCGCTATCCGGAACCCACGGGGACAATCTGCTTCGATTGGGCCTTGCAGGCAGACAGGCTAACTTGTGGAGACGAAATGGAATCCTATATAATTAGAATATAAGTGAGAATGGCGAGTCCCGAGAGAGAAACTTATCTTACCCAACATTGCATGAAACAGGTCAACACAACCCATTATCAGAGACAGGCAACAGCATATAGCGAGAACGCACAACACTAGAGACATTCTGACTTTCATTACAAACTCTCATACTATCGCAGCTCTTCTGCTCGTCTAGAACAGAAGACACCAGCTTTCACTGGTGGGGAGCTGACCTTCGTCTCCCTAGTTATCGGGTTTTAAGGACAAATATCATCTACCAGACTGTTGCCTCATTGGACGTAAGAACTGACAGGCAATCCTTACGCAGAAGGGTGGAAAACCTTATCACCATCTAAAAAAAAGTGTGAGAGCACTTAGACGATGCCATTGTTTTTAAAGTTTTAAACCGGGCTTGGTGGTAAGGGAATGGGTTAAGCCAGCTCGTGCCTCGAGGCTAGCTACTGGCTTTGGTACTCCTCTCGCTTTAAAGCAAGGCTACGTAGTATCTCGCCCCTAAATAATAAGCTGGAGAGGCACTTTGTACCTCTCATTATCAGTCTTGTTCTCCTAACGGTCAATCTGATCCCAACTCTTAGTAGTCTGTAAATCCAATCCACTCCCTTTGGGACCTACTCTCCCTGAACTCAAACTCAGAACTCTCTTGACGATGAAAGCATTAGCGAGGTTATCAAATTCTATTCTATCTATTTTCTATTTAGTCAAATCAGCCTTCTTAGCGGCTAAATACACGATCAGGCTTAGATAGTATTATGAATGCATTGGATTGGATGGATGTCCGGGCATTGAGAAGGAAGGAAGGCCTTAAACAGGATAGGGGGACCCAAGGGACGGGGGAAAGACAGGACCAAAGTATCTTATATAAAGAAAGGGTTCGGAATCGGAATCAGAAGTTGGCTAGAGCTAAGGCTAAGAAGAAGAAGCAGAATCAGTTGCTGCAGAAGCTGAATCCGCAGAATCAGCAGTAAGCCGAGCCAGAGCCTTTAGTTGCAGTTGCAGTCGTCTTAAAGGTAGCAGTCCCAAGCCAAGGGCAAGCAACGAACTTAGCCGGGGGGATAGGGCCTGAGACTGTAGACGGTAAAGGGTAATAGGGAAGGGATAGGGCCTGAGACGGGACTGGGACAAAAGCGTTTTCTGGAAAGGGGCTCACTAGCGCGAAAGCCGATAGATAGCACTTATTTGTCTAGGGCGATACGAGAATCCGGAGAATCATCCGAATCAGCTGCAGAAGCTGAAGAAGGGTAAGCAGAAGAAGTTTCCGTTGCTGAATCCGTTTCAGGGTAAGCGGAATCCGCAGAAGCAGAAGTTGGAGAAGTAGGAGAAGGTAGCCGTAGCCCGTTCAGAGCGCCTCCGTCGGGCCTTCTTCAGTAAAGCGAAGCTGTATCAGCTGTTCTGGACTTGGGTTACGCCTTGGGCTCGGAGGTTGAGAAGGCTAAATTGGGGCTTTCCTCTCCGGCTTTCGGCCTACTTACCTTACTTTGGATGGGGACGAAAGTCCTCATAGCATAGCGTTTCCAGTTTCTTATGATTCATATAGGGATTCTGCTGAAGAAGGATCTTCTCAGCCAACCTTCTACCCAATAGGGCCTTATACCTTCTTAGTCAACCTTGCCAGCTCCCGTTTAAGGCCGTCTACAGTCTCAGGCCCTATCCCCCGCCCCTACTATTTAGGGGGCCCTTGCTTCTTGCTTCTGATGGAACTGCTACTCGTTGTACCCTTGCTTCTACTCCCTTCTACTCCAACGGGATCAATGACTGGACTTGGATCTACTAGTGAAGCTACTCGGTCTCGATCTGCTTGTTGATTGCTAGCTTGATTGCAAGGAAGATTAATGTGCAGCTAGAGCTAGAAAAGAGGAGAAGGATGAGCGAATGACATCATATCATGTATAAAATTACCGAACTATTGATTCAAATCACTCCTCTCGCTTTGCCTTTATCTGATAGGGGCAGCTTCGCTCCTCGCTACCGGGGCAGAAAGGCTAGTAAGTTCGGGGTACACCCAAAGGGAAAAGCGAAGAGCCATTAAAGACCTTCACTGAGACCATACCCATACATAGGTCAAAGGCTCTCTCGATATCCTTACTTAAAAAGCAAAAATGGATTAGGGCACCGGTCCAGAACAAGAGGGACGATGGATGGGTTCCTACTCTGTTGATGAATCTAGACTTACTAACCATCTTTGATTTTCTTCGGCTGTGGCTTCAGGGTATGCTTCAACAACAGATGAATCCGCGAACTCGGATGCTTTATCCAATCCAGTTCTTACTGATGAGTCTCATTCTGTCTACATGGATCTGGCCATTGCTTCTTTCTAACGCGCCCTTAGGACTAGGGCTTTCGCTAACGTGAAGCACTCACTGAGTTACTTACGAATCAGAAAGATTGAGGCTGACTACGGCCTCAGATGATTAGGCGGGGACAGGATTCGAACCTGCAATCTTCAGGTCATGAGCCTGATGAGTTGACCAATTCCTCTACCCCGCTTCTTCCCTTCCTCTTCTCTTTCTTGAAACTTATAGATTAGATTAGCAAGACTGCCCACACTGAACACCAACCCAATCTCGATGAGAATCAGTACACGGAACTCGATCAATCCACGAAGGTGTAGCACTTCTCCACCCTCTGCTAGCAGCTTTCTTCTCTTATGATTTTTTCGCTATAGGTCGAGAAATTTCATACCGTCAACTCTTCCTAGTGGCTACCCGTCGCTAGCAGCATTAGAGCCTCTATCACTAAATTAGTGAGCTTTGGGAAGAAAAGATTAAAGAAGAGAGGGGAAATCTCACTCACTACACACTTTCTTGTTCCAAAAAGACCAGAGTCCGACACTTGACAATGAAAGAATAGCAATGAAAGAACAGACAGAAGTGGAACGAGAGGGGAGGTGACGAGTTGGTAGCTCACCTCTTCCTTTGTTGCTGGCATAGACAATGGGAAGGTTAACTTGGTGATTGAGTTCCGAATTCCCTTCCTCTGCTCTGGCGAGTGACTCTTCCGGAAAGAATGAAATGCATAGGGGATGGGATTGATTCAATTACTCGCATTAGACTTGCCTTGATATTGAGACAATCTTTCTTTCTATTACGCTATTTCAAAGCATCTATCATTGGCTCCCTTTCCTACGAGACTTTCTTTCTTTAATCCGAATTCCTCTGGCACTGATTTAATCAGGAATTGAGAAGCAGCAGGGTATTTAGTTGATGGAACACTTTACAGATTCCTATTTTAACAGAGTCCAAGACTTGACAACAACAATAAGAATTGAGCGTAAGATGCCTTAAGTTGGAAGGAAGTAGCTACCTATGATTTCAGAATTGAGTTAATAGCACATGAGTTAGATTAACCTGGATCTAGCTGCGACTGCCTTTATTATAGTATGACAGTTGCTAGCTCTTCTTCGGCTTCCTTCGTATCGTAGCCGTCATTATCATTCCTCGGATCATTAGGCACAACTAGGAGAATTAGGAAAGCTCATAATGGAGTGGAATTGGCATCGTGCCTACTATTTATGACGATATTATTAATTAGATGCCGTCATTAGTAGAGTAGGCATAGAGGGGTCACTCTAAATATACGAGTTCGACGCATTAAATTATGATCTATCTATTACGATGAAGTTCATTGCATTTCCTATACCCTTCCTTCTTGCTATACGGGCTACTTCATTCCTTGCTTTAGAATGACGAAGAGAGAAGTGTGAAAGCAATGCTACCTTCCCTCTATTCTTTCAGTTGTTCGCTGCTTCTTTATCTGGTATTGAGTTCATAGACCACAATCTAAATGTGATTCCGACACCTGACGAAGACCTTCGACGTGCTGCTAATATAGGGAAGCAAAGTCGTAGTTAGTAGCCCGTTACGGAAAGCTAGCTGAACTCTCTTCTATGTCTTACGTAGATAAGAAGGAATGGGACTGCTGTAGCTTCGCTTCTTCTTCTGCTCGCTACCGTCGATTAGCTCGACCAGAGGCAGGAAGATTACGGGGTTTAGTCCGAGAATTCCCAATCCGTCATTCTTCTTCTTAGTCTTTCTTGGCTAATTAACTAGCTCATCCTTTTCAATTAGCTGCTTTCCAGACTCGGAAAAGAGGGCTTCTTGGATAATGCGATGGAGGTTAGCTACCTTCGTCACTCATCAGTTAAGGCATCGTTCGCTTCGGATCAAAGTGACGCATCTAAATCCGGGCAAGGCCTAAGAAGTGGATTCAACTATTCGTCATATCGGAAAGGTGGGATTTCAGGACAAGGTAGTTTGTGACGGTTCTTGCTTTCAGCTGACGAGGGATAAGAAGGCTGTTTGGTCATATCCCTTCATTCTTAACGGAACCTAGATTATGGGTATTCCGTCATATTGAGATCCCTCTTTCAGTTGTTCAGCTTAGTAGGAAGGGGAATCCCTGTGAGCATAGTCTTCGACTGATTTGTGAATAACAGGTATGAAGTGCTCGCCCCTATCGAATAAAGTAAGGAGAGGTATGAGTCATATTTATTATAGGCATTCATGCTAACAATTCGTCATATAGGGTATTTATTTCCTCTGCTAAACCGTCAGGGTAATAAAGAATGGATGTTGTAGCTAAGTGGATTCCCTTCTAAGGAGCTAACGGGTAATTCTTTGTAGTTAGTAGCTAACTCGGCCTAGGGCTGCCCTTCATGGGATTGATGCAGATTATCATTTTTATAGAACAATGCGAGATCAATTTCTTTCTTTCCTCGCTTAGCAGCTCTTTGGATTTTCTGCAAGGGCAGAGAAAGAGGAAGACTTTGAGTTCCCATTTGAAGATTAAGACGATGTGAAAGAGTTAAGAACGCGAACAGGAAGGATTCGGATTGAACTCTTTCTTTTTCTTTTATTGGCACGGATGAGAGATAAAGAAGAGATGGGCTGAAGAGTTAGTCGGATTGAGATTGAGTTCGAAGCCTAGAGAAATGAGTTGATGAAGAGCGCACTCTTTCTCCTTACCTTAAAGAAGAGAAGGAGTGAAGTAGCATGCATGGGAAGGTAAGGGTAGTTGATTGATCCGGCAATATCAGATAGGCGTCGGTTATCAATGAAGAGAGAGATGCCCGATAAAAGGAAGCTACCCTCGCTCTATTCTTCTATTATACAGATACGGCTATTCTAGGAAGTCCGAGCATCCCTATGGAGTTGCCTTCGGCTTTCCTCCTTTCCTTTCTTTTCCTTACCTGGGAATTCAAAGAAGAATAGAAGGACGAGTTGCTCGCATTATCCAATAAATTGAGACATTCCTGATTTACATGATGAAATTAGTTCTTCTTTCAGCTCTTTGATTGGGAATTAATGGTAACAAGAGCCTGTAGCTACTAAGAAGCTGACGCTCTATTTCTGAAGAAGGAGATGTGGAATGAAGTCACTCTCCTGCTAATCCGAGTGACGGTATGAAGTAGAGCTCGTATTCCCTCTCCCTTTGGTCGAGCTACTTCGTCCCTGCTTTTAGATGTTATTTTGCCAGTCACAAGAGAGCTTAAGGGATGTTCCAAAGAATATCCCGTTAAGCGAACGATAATAGACAAGTAAGCCTAGGCCTAAAAAAAGACCTTGTTCTTGTTGTTCTTGCACTGCAACTACCTCGTTAGCACTTCTTTCTTCTTCCTCGCTTCTCTTCCTTATATTATACTATTTAAGAATGCTTGAAGCTTTCCTGAGAATGCTCTTTAGACAGCTTTAATAAATAAGGAAGGCTATTTAGCTACTTTCTCTGAGGCTTGCCTTTGTGCTGACAGTCTAATATCGTTCGCTAGTTGAGCTACCTCCCCAGGTATCTCAATCCAGCTCTCTTGATAGCATCCGGAGCAAAGCAAAGCATCCTAATAATAAGGGGAATTAAGCATCCCTTTAGCAACAAAGGATTTAGGTTTTTTAAAGCTAGCAAAGTACCGCTTGTATGGTTATCGTTCGATAGGTGAGCTATTCTTAGTGAACATCTCACTATCTCTCTTGTTACTGGCGGACTGTCACTAAAGAAGAAAACTCATTTGACAACATCTTAATTTACCCTAGGAAAGAGAATCAATCCTATAGAGGGATGCTCGAATCATATTCATCATTGCCTTAGACTAAGAAACTCCCTAGATAGACTAATAAGGCGGTACGGTACTAAGAAGTTCAGTTTCAATAGGCTGATTAGTCAGGAGCGGACTGTAACTAGACAGAAGGAAGATAGTAGCAAGCTAAAGCGAAGGTAGAAGAACGAATTGCCGTAAGCTTTTGAATCGAACCCGTAGGACTGTTAAGATAACTTCATTACGATAGCTCTACTCTAGTTCAGTGAACAGAGAATAAGATATCGAATTCCTTGAGTTCCGTAAGCCTAATTGCTAGTCATTCAACCAGCGAAGGAAAGCTACAGCTTTTCAATCGAAGTCGTGTCACTATTTAAAGTAGCTTGAGTTCTGTTCCTGTAGCGTGTAGTCACTCGAGCTAAGGAATATAAATTCTTAATCTTGCCCTAGGGATTAAGGAAGAAAGATAAATCATTCCAGAAGTCAATGAAAATACGCCCAGGTCAGATTCATATCAATACGATACGGTAATAAAGGAATATAGTAGCAAGCGTAAGCGAAGGTATCGCAAATCAAGTAACTAAAAAAAGCATTCCTAGAGTTCATTCAGGTATGACCGGACTGGTACTAAAGAATCAATCTCACATTGGAATCTATCTTCGAAGAATTGACATTCTCTTCATTCACTCTTCCGGCCAATAAAGAGGAATTCAAGATCATATTCACACTAGCCATTCACACCTGTAAGAAGGAAGTCTTACTCTTTAATTCCCCCATAGGCTAGAGAGTTACCCAACAAGCAACGGCTTTCGCTAACGACTTTATTCGTAGCTGGAACAAGCAACGGATTAAGCGTTAGCGAAAGCCCCCACTTAGTTTAAGGCGTTAGTACGAACAAGCCAGCTACGAATAAAGTCGCTCTAGCGCGAAAGCCCCCACTTAGTTTAAGGCGTTAGTACGAACAAGCCCGCTACGAATAAAGGCGCTCTAGCGCGAAAGCCCCCACTTAGTTTAAGGCGTTAGTCACGAACAAGCAACGGATGAGCGCTCTAGCGCGAAAGCCCCCACTTAGTTTAAGGCGTTAGTACGCGCAGCCGTTTTCTTGCTGCTTTAGTTTTCTTGCTGCTTTAGTTTGATTGCGTAGTTTGATTGCCTAGTTTTCTTGCTGCTTTAGTTTGATTGCCTAGTTTTCTTGCTGCTTTAGTTTTCTTGCCTAGTTTTCTTGCCTAGTTTTCTTGCCCCGCCCCGTTTTCTTGCTTGCTAGGGATCGGAGCGAAGGGCCATCCTGACTTGGTAAGCAAGCAACCTGGATAGAAAGATCACTCAGGAAGATCAGGCAAAGTTAGCATTCACCAGCAAGACTAATAACAATGAGTGAAGCAAATTGCTGACCGGGAAGCTACCTGATTCTAATTAGACGTTGAGCGGAGCCGACCAGACGAGCTCAGCCAGCAATAAGCATTTAATTATTATATTAAAAAAAAACGAGTAAGAAAGTGAACGAAGTAGATGGAAGAGAATCGGCAAGAGAAGAGGAGCGCTTAGCTTTGATTTGAGAAGAAAGACACTTGATATCATAGGAAGGATAAATCTATAAGAATCTCAGGGGGTACAAAGCATAAATAGCTTAACTGTTGCCTTTTTTCAACCAGGATGGAACTTGAAGCTGTCTCTGCAATGTTGGTTCAGGGTCCTAGAAAGATACTCCATAGCTAGGACAATGTCTTCCACTCATGCCTCAGAGGGCATTGATCCAGAAAGTCGGCTGGCAGCCGAGACTGCGGAGATCGGGTTTAGGAGCCCTTTTCATTTCGGTAGATATCTAAGATAAGAGGAGGAAGGGGAAGGCAGGAGGTATGTAATATAGAAAAGATAGTTTGATTGCTGGGGAAAGAACGATAAGAATCAAGTACGTAGTCGCCCCTATCAGATAAAGGCGAAGTGAGAGGAGAGGGAGCAAATCGACATTTGAATAAGGCTAGGCGCCTTATTCCCTCAACCCTGAAATCAGCAGATTCAATACCAGGGGATATTACGACACGAGCTTCCATTCTCTATAACTAGGCTTTTTTCATTTTTTGATTCACTCGGAATGGTCGGAAATGGCTGAAGATGTCTCTGAGCGTGTTGCCGGGGCTGGTACTGATGCTAGCAGGGAAAGCAGACTGAGCCTAGCTTGAAAGAGATCTATCACTAAGATTTTAGAACCGGATATAAAAGGGAAACAGGATAAAACAGGTTGCCTAGCTGCCAAAAGCAGTACTTCACTTGAAACCAACAGGGCTGTACTGAGTTTTTCTCAGATCCTATATTAGGTAAGGGAAAAATTCCTTCTTTGAACTGTGAACATTAGAAATTTTCAGCACTCCTAGCCCTCCTTCTTGAATTAAGTTAAGGCTACCCCTTATGCATAGTTTCGCCCTAATGCCAAAATCTGGAATAACTTCTTTAAGCTAGTTCCACCAAGTCCTGCTTTCTTGTGAAAGTCTTGGCTTGCTCTTTTTCCATGTCTGTTGATGTCGTAGGAATTCTCTCTGGAACAACCCCTGGCTGGGAGAAATAGACTGATATGAGTTAGATTCGGAAATTTCTTTGTGGCAACAAAAGTTCCATCGATTTAGCTGTTGATGGCGTAACCGCTCTTTATTTAATCGCATTTTCAAAGCATCAGTCCAACAGGGGCAAGGCTACTAGAATACCCACACTCGGCTCAAATGATTGGATCCCAAGTGTCATTACAAAACAAGCTTGTGCCCCGGAGGATACTTTCCTCGTGTTAGCCGAACTGGGATCGGTAGAAGGAAAAAGTCATTTAGCCCAAAACCCCCCCGGGTGGATAAAAAGAGTGGTTTTTGTCGACCCTATATTAAGTAATCCGACATGAGGCCAAAATCGCAAGGTTGGGTGCTATTGCTCAAGGGGGGCTACTAGAAGCCTATAAGGAAGCAGTCCTTCCGCTACACGAGCATCGACAAAGAGAGAGTTTAGAGCTATTAGCCAGAAAGAGCGAAAGGAAAGATCTGATGTGAACAAAAGAAAGAAGATCATGGTTGAATGCTCACAAGACATGTGACCAAGAACGGCTTAAGTTGAATCGACTGTGAACGAACGAGTGGGCAACTACTCTAATCCCAGTCAAAAAGAAGAAGAAAGGCTTGGCTTTCATCCCATCCATATTGATTATTTAACCCTAGGACTGTTCAGTGACGGGAAGACAGGAACGAGATAAGAGAGAAATCTGAGTTTGATTCATCGAATAAAAGTCTTATCGGTAGAACGATAGCTTCGGTCTCAGTCCATTCAGTCAAGCCAGTCGCAAACCTTACTTCCAGAGCATTCACGAAAGAACAGTTGGCAGAGTAAGACCCCTTCCTTACTAGGATCAACTAAAGCACCAGCAAAGGGATTCATTGCTCTTTCTCCTAGTTACCGGGACTTTATCACGAATTTAAATAAAGTTGTCATTCCTAACAACATACAAGAGGCATTGGAAATACCAGAATGGAGAAATGCTGTTATGGAAGAAATTAGAGCTTTAGAGAAGAATGGAACATGGGAGATTGTTGAAAGGCCTAGAGGCAAGAAACTTCTTAGTTGCAAGTGGGTCTTCACTCCAAAGTATAAGGCTGACAGCACACTTGACAAGCTGAAGGCACGCTTAGTAGCAAGAGGGTTCACCCAGACATATGGCATAGACTACAAAGAGACTTTTGCGCCAGTGGCAAAACTGAACACTATCAGAATTCTATTGGCTTGTGGCAGCCAACCTTGAATGGCCACTTCATCAACTAGATATCAAGAATGCCTTTCTAAATGGAGAATTGAAGGAAGAAGTCTACATGACGCTACCTCCGGCCTTTGATAAAGGCAGAAGTGATAAGGTATGTCGGCTGAAGAAATACCTATATGGCTTGAAGCAGTCTCCTAGAGCATGGTTCGATAGGTTCTCAAAGGTTCTGAAGTCAGAAGGCTACAAACAGGGATTGTCAGATCACACGATCTTTGTTAAAGCTGAGGGAGTCAAGAAGTGCATCCTTATTGTGTATGTAGATGATATAATTCTCACAGGAGATCATGATGAAGAAATAGCTAGGATAAAGCCCTATGATGGGAACCTTGCCTTGGGAACCTGAAAGATTTTCTCGGGATGGAGGTCAAAACGAGGCATCTATCTATCTCAGAGGAAGTATATACTGGATCTTCTAAAGGAAACAGGCATGTTGGGTTCTAAACCTGAGGAAACTCCGATCGTGGTGTCGAGAAAGAAGAAAAAGAAGACTAAGAAAGAGTCAGAAGAAGAAGACTACTCCGATGATGAGGTTGAAGAAGAAGACAAGGAGAAAGAGGAGACTGTTGATAAAGAAAGATATCAGAGACTTGTTGGGAAGTTGATTTATCTTTACCATACAAGACCAGATATTGCTTTTGCTGTCAGTGTAGCAAGTCAGTACATGTGTGATCCAAGGAAGAAAGACCTAGAAGCAGTATACAGGATTCTCAGATACCTTAAAGGTACACCTGGTAAGGGATTCTTATTCAAGAAGCATGATCAGAGATCAATTGAGATCTATACAGATGCAGACTGGGGGGGAACCTATGGAGACAGGAGATCCACCTCTGGTTATTCTGCGTTTGTATGGGGAAACTTAGTGACTTGGAAAAGGCAAAAGCAGAGAGTTCTATCCAGAAGCAGTGCTCAATCAGAGTTCAGAGCATTAGCTCAAGGAATTACAGAAGAATTATGGATAAGAAGAGTCATGGAAGAAATACAGGTTAGAGTTGATCCACCGATCAAGCTGTATTGTGATAACAAGGCTGCCATAAGCATGGCATTGAACCCTGTGCAACATGAGAAATCTAAGCATGTTGAGGTGGGATAGACATTTTATCAGAGAGAAAGTGGAGGAAGGAAGTCTATCTTTGACATACCTAACTACGAAGTTACAAGCAACGAGCAAGAAAACGGGGCGGGGCAAGAAAACTAAAGCAGCAAGAAAACTAAAGTGCGTTAGTACGCACTTTAGTTTTCTTGCCTAGTTTGATTGCCCCGTTTTCTTGCTCGTTGCTTGTTCCTCTCGCTTTAGAAGGACTGCCTTTTCAGGTCTGAATGTGGAGTTTGGCATATGCCTGCTCTTACCGATCTCTTTTCTTTGGAGATGATTCCTGACTACTTACTAAGGAAAGAAGACTTTCTTCCTACCGTTTGAGGAGAGGGAACTACCCCACCTGTGAAAAAGCTACTTTTTGCAGAAGAAAGCTGGTGCGATAGCTGCTCGAGCAAAGAAGCAAGGGACCTGTGAAGTAAGATAAAGAATTCCATCTGTTCGTGACCCTGATTAGTAAAGTCGCAAACGAACGGAGTCGCTCGAGTGAAAAGAAAACGAGAGGGGAGATATTTGAGATCTACGAAGACCTTTTACTCCGAAATCATTCATTCGTAGAAGTCTGGAAGCCCAAGAAATCCAATCCTACCCCCAACCATTCCTTCCCTGCCTCTAGCAGCCCCGAATGGATAAGTAGTGGGTTCGTACAAGGTAGCATCATATGGTGAACCCTATTGCTTCTTTCTTCTGTCCCCGATATTCTAATGATCTGATCCGATTTTGCCTCTCAGCTAGCCCCGCTCCATCCTTCGGCCCTTCCCCTTCTTGCCTAATAATTCTTGCTTCAAGTTAACTTGCCGGTTGGAAGTCTTAATGCTACTGTCCTTGGCTGCCTAGTTGTAGGCTTACTTTCGGTACAAGAGGTTATGAAATAGAATACGCTTGCTTTCGATGGCGATTCCTACGACTACTTATATATATGACTATTCCGATTTCTGTTTCTAGTGTTGCTTGTGCCTGTTGCTGCTCCTGGTCCTCCCATTGACTTCCGCCGAATACGAAAGGTAAAAAGCAAGTCAATCTATTAGCCATCTCCCTTCGGCTCCTCTTTAGATCGTGGACTCGGGCTTCTTAAGTAAGTTAAGGGAAGCACTTCGTTCCACTCGTTCTAGACATACTCTAAACTCCTAACAAGAGAAAGAAGGAAAACAAGGAGTAAACAAGAGCTACAACAACTAGAGTGTCAAGGCCAGGAGGAGGCAAGGGAAGTTTTTTTTGGGAAGCAAGCCCCTCAACTTATCCGCTTATCGGAAAGAGCAGGGACCTACTACCTACAGGAAGAGACAGGACAGCAAACTTATTGGCACCTGATTGTCAGTCATATCTATTCTTTGCTCGTGAAGTCTACGAAGCGAGCCTTCACTGGGGAGATAGCGACCCACTACTACTACCTGTACTCAATCAAGAACCCCATCAAGCAATAACTCAAGAAATATGTCCTGTTCTCATATTCATACTACTACTGAAACCACTTACAAGAAAGACAGCTATAGCAACCCCCTCTAAGACAGGGAATCCTTAGAGCAAGTACCCTTTCTAGTATGAAAAGGTAAAGTCCTTACTCTATTCCTTCCTAAAGTCAGGAATAGCGGACTTGGGATGAGATTGCTATTGCTATCAATAGAATAGAAGGAGTACTTACTCTTACTATCTCAACTCATGTCCTTAGGGGCCTTCTTCTTGAGGTTTGGATTTCTTTAGGTGATGTTCGAAATCACTTTGATGGTATTCGGGAACCAATTGTCTCACCTTTAGGAATATGGTTATCCAAAAGGCAGGTGATACAAGTTCCTTCTATTCTAGCTACGGCGCTCATAAGAAGAAGGGTCCTGAGGGGCGCGGAAGTATTAGACTTGCTAAGAATGAATACCAGATAGTACAAGACGGCTGACATTGACAGCAGTAAAAAACGGATATCCGGGAGGTAGGCGAAGGACTCCGGGTGCGCAAAGTTGGGCACCAACTTCTGTCGTCACTTTGACTCGATCTTCCCTTGGTCAAGGAAGAGAGAGGAACTGTGGCATGCCAACGAAAGCGACGGTGGCTCCATACGGGGGAACGGGTTCTTAGGCAAGAACACAACAAGCAAAAAGCGAAGAGCAAAGGTGGGAGGACTCCTTCTTTTTGAGCGGTGTCTTACCCCCCTCTTTCAGTACCCCTCGGGGGGAGCCCATTAGATTGAATTAGCGTGGTTCGGTTTTACCAGGGGCATACGGCATTACCGGTCGAATAAGCAGCGATTCCTGCTCGGCATCGGCACTTGCTATAGAAGAAGCAGCTGTTAGCTTTAACACGGGACTGAAGTCACGGTTAGCTCTGCAAATGTTGAAAGCATGAATGTAGATCCGATAAATCCTGATACTGATACACTAAAAATGAGACTGATTTTAGTACCTTTACAGTAGGATCAAGGATTGAAGACGCTCGCCCGATAGGTAGAGAACTTCATGCCTTTCCTTCCTCGGCCTTAGGTATGAGTAACTCAGGCAAGGCCCAT